TTCCTATTTTTTTTAAATTCATTTTCTTTTTTAAAAAAGCTTTCCTTAGAAAATATTATATATATATATATATTTAACCTAAATATTATTTACTAGATTAAGTAGACTCTTAACATTGTTTTGTGATATGTATTTTTAGAAATAATGCTTCAAAGATAACTAACTTTTGCATTTTATCATTTATTTGACAAGTTGCAGGATACTTTTGATTGTTTTGTTATTTGTCATAGGATTTATTAAATACATTCACTGGATAATTGTGACCCTGTCTACCTTGTTAGGTTAATATATATACACATATGTCAGGGTTTTGTGAGTGTGTGTTTTTTCCAGTCTTGAGGCTTGATCTCAGGGCCTGAGCACTGTCCCTGACCTTTTGTTTTTGCTCAAGGCTAGCACTCTTCCACTGGAGGCACAGCACCGCTTCCAGCTTTTTCTGTTTATGTGGTGCTGAGGAATCAAACCTAGGGCTTCATGCATACTAGGCAAGCAGTCTACTGCGAACCCACATTCCCAACCAATTATTTTTAAATCATCAAATTTTCATTCCCAATGTTCCATGATACTAATAGTGATATACTGAGAGTTGCAACAAAAAGGAAATATGTTTCAGGGAATTGTATTACCAGAAAAAGAAATATTTTAGAAAGTAAATTTATTTTTTATTATGTTTTTAAAAAAATATTCACACACTGAAAGAATACCAATTTGAATAAAATATACAACATAAAATATTTATATTGTCATAATATATATGTATACATACATATATGTATATAAATATATGTGTACATATATTTATAATATGAATATATGTATGTATACATGCATATATGTATACATGTATATGTATATATGTATGTATACATGTATACATATATGTATACATATACGTGCATTTATTTATATACATATATGTATAAACATATATGTATGTATACATATAAATACATGTATATAGTATGAATATATACATAGATATGTATATAGTATGACAATAATATATAATTATATATTTATTAAAAACCCCTATCATAAAAAACAATAAAAATATATACATAAAAATTTTTGAGCAAACCATTGGAAAAGTTAAAAGGTAGAAAATTATGCTCTATATATAAATGCTATATTCTTACCAGAAAACTCTAAAAATATTTCTATACAAGTGAATTAGAAATCAAATTCCTCTCACAGTTGCTATCTGTGTAGAGTGTAGTAGCTACTAATATGTAAAAATAAGAAAACGGATTAAATTTACAATCAAGTACTATCTTATAGCAAGTACCACACTGAAAATACATTTATTTTAAAGTGATGTCTACTTATGTTTTGTTTGTTCTTTCACCTATTCTTAGAAAAAAGTAGCTTATTATCGAAGTATAAATATAATCAATATAAAATAAGTTGAAAAAGAAAATGCTTAGCTCCTTTAAAGATTTTCTCTCCTTTAATTAGAAGCTGAAAATTTAATTGAATTTTATTAATATACTATGCATTGAAGTATACATAGCAAGAAGAATGACAGAATGAGCTAGATACTGCATAATGCCTCCTTTATAAGGGCCTTAATCCCATTTACAAGAGAGTAATTCTCATATGAGCACTCACTAGCACATTGGCCATTAAGTTTCCAAGTTTAAATTTAGGAAGGGACACACTAAAGCCACATATGAGATTACTGGATGATGAATATAAGCATCATAAAGGTTATATAATGATGATACATTATACATTATAATTGTTAAGGTGATAAATATTTGATATGGAATCTACTGTGCTTTAATGATAATACCTCTGAAAATAACATAATTGCTGTAATAATATGTGAAACAAAAATTAAACCATTTAAACAGGGTGTTAATAATTAAAACTCTTTAGTGTATGTACATAAATTAGCCACTATTTTAAGCTCTTTATATTCTTATGTAATCTTTGCAATAGAAATAGCTTCTGTTATTTTTTCCTTTTATAAAAGGCCAAATTTACAGCATAGAGATTAGTTAATTGGCTCAAACTTACAGATACATAGTGAAAGAAGATACGGATGGTGACAAAGTTAATGACATTTTGTCTTCTGTTGGCAATGGTATATGAATGAGAAGCGGAAGGTAGTAAATCAGGAAGCTCGAAGGGCTGTAACTCAAACCATTTCTTGACCCTCTTGAAGGAAGAAACCAAATACTCACCAGACTTAAAGCCAAAATATAAGGAGCCAGTTAATTATACACTGAATAAATATTGTAGATATTGAATGTATATAGAAAGGAAAATTTTAAATTCATTTGAGTCATATATGTGTTACAGAAGCTGGCACAAATAGAAGTTTTGCGGAGTGGGTTAGATTTACAATGCTATGTTCTAATAAGAATCCTATATTTCCATAAGGGAATTTTATCTACTCGAATAAAAATAAGCATTCCTCTATGAGTGTTTGTGTTGTAATGTGGTAAGTTATAAGAAGAAAATCACTGAGTCTAAGACTGAAAACATTGCAGAATTAAATAAGCATATGCCATATACAGTATCATTCTTCACTGTGGATATCAAGTGATCCTGTTGTTAAGCATTTTGAGATTAATACTAAAGTTAGAATCACATTTGTGTTAGAACTTTTTTCTTTTTCCACAGAAACACATTGGAAAAACTTGCAAAACAGTTTCTTCTAACATAAGGAATTACATACATGGATAGCCACCATGTGATTGTTAATCAAAAACTTCTGAGATAAAGAATTCAAGCTTAAGATCACACTATGTATTCTAATATTCTTGCTTTTTGCATTACTCAAAATCAGCCTTTACTTTATCTGTGTAATTGTTGCCTGGATCTTCCTTAGGTCTGGAAATTCTCTCACCTTCAAGTTCTCCATATACAAACTTGTATTTTCTAGTAACTTTTGTTAGCCTATCTTAGATTTTTATGTAACACCATATGTCAATCTTTGATTCATTCCTGTTTTTGCAGTCCTCTCCTGCTGTTTCCTTGTCACTGCCCAATATGATAATTAATGGACAGCCATTTAAGGAGCATCGTTTTTCAGATTTCTCATACTATGCCCATATGACCTTCTGTCATTTCTCATTTGTAGTCTCTCTTTGTGTTAATTCTGCCTGTTGCTGCTTCATAGATTATTATCTTGCCCTGAAATCACACTAATAAGAAGCCCATAAATGAGAAGCATGTCACTTAATGTCTTAGAAATAAATGAAGACATCGTCACAGAGGAAAACGGAGTGTTTTACTGTTCAAACAAATGTTTGTTTTCTATCAAAATAGATCTTCAATGCTGCTTGCAATTCTCGTATTTATGCATTTCGTTTTGGTTGGTCCCTTTATAGGGCATTTCCTGTGGCAGATTTAAACTTCTTCACTTGTCTCAAGAAACAAATTCTCTGCTTCTACATCAAGCTTAATTCAAGCACAATTTATTACTTTTTTCCTTTTATGAAAAGATTGAGATCTCACTCATTTTCAACCCATCTCTTCTCAATCTGCTTTCTGAAAAACATTCCCCACGATGATTATTTTCAACATTAACACCTTTATGCTGCATTATCTTTGTTTTTTGGAAGAAAAGGAATAGAAGTAGTTGCTATCATAGTTTTCATTTCCCTTTTATACTAAGCACAATCTACACATCTAGCCATTGCGGAAGGGTTTCTCTTTGCTTATGTACACATCATTCCACATGGTAGTTCCTGGTCTTCATGATAAGCTGAAATATAACATGAGCAATCATTATTCCTCTATCTGATTTTAAGAGATGTACTTATTGAAAGAGATATAGCTAACGTTTGCACAGATATCTCAAAGTAAGAAAAGTCTAGAGCTAAATAACTGCTGGAATTTCATCTAAATATTTCATCTAAAAAATCTTATATTCCTGATAGTTGTAAAGCTTGAATTAATCTTAAGTGTTCCTCTTTCCAATCATCAAGCCCATAAATTGCTCTTTCACCACACTGCTGATAGTTATTACTAACTGGTGGTTTATTACTGACTCTCTTGGCCATACCCAGAATTCAGCCAGATATTCCTTCTAAAAGTTTAATTCTAGTCATTTCAGGCTACTGAGCCATGTAAGTACTCTCTTCCTTTCTTCTCTTACAAACTGATTTAAGCCTGGAGTCCTTAAGATTCTTATTCATGGATTTTCTTTCTCTGCTCCAAACATATTCTCATGGTTCTTTTTTCTTCTTTCAGTATTCCAAAGTAGGAAACCTATACAATTAACCATATCCTATGTTGCCAACCAATATGTTCATTTTGTTCCACGCATGGAAGCTCTCTCCTGTTGAAAGGTCACATTTTCAAAACATTATCAAAGTCTCTTCTAGAGAAATGGTTTGATTTTGTGCTAGGTATGAATCTCCTTTCTTTAATACTAGATAGTGTTCTGCTTTTACTTGTTTTATTCTGTCTCTTGAATATTGTTTGCATATTTGTTATATTCTTCTCCATAGGTGGCTGTTTTCTAAAGGTTATATGTGCTTACTCATGGTTTGACTACTGGAACACCATGTATTCTTACACCAATCATCAATTAGTTGTTAAAATCATTATGTGAAATAGAAAATTTAAATATTGTAGAATTATCTGAGTATTTTCAGAATATTTAAATATTATAGAATTATTTGAGTTTTTCTAACAATCTGATTAGAACTCTTCAAGAAGCTGTTTTTCCAAGCAAGTGGAAAAAATGATGTCCTAATGAGCAACTAATAAATTAAGGAACTAAAGGATTTGTTCATAGGTAAATCATAGTCTCAAATAGAATTAGGAAGAAACATTGGTCCTGTTCTTCTGTCAGTTCATGTTACATAGAGCCCCCTGTATGTATTCAAAGTACTGCAGGTTCATTAAGTAAATTCAATCTCTCATTTTCCTTAAATCATCACTGATTTGAGCTCACTGTTTTCTCAAATTAGGCCTAAGAAAATTATGGCCATATATTCATTCTCTAATTAACCTAAAAGTGAACTATATTTCATTGCTTGTAGGATGGTATGGGAAATCTGAGAGTCACCAAGAAGGGAATCCGACTTGAAGGTATATCTGAGTTTCTCCTTCCATTGTATGTGAAAGAAATTCATTCCCGAAAGGTATGTGATACTGCCTTTGGCTTACTGTAAAAAATTATCTAGAGTTTGTGGTTTAGCTTAAAATAGGATAGAATCCCCTGAACTCTTCATGTTTTAATTTTCTTAAGCTAAAGACTTATTTAGAAAAATTCAAAAAATAAGACAATTATTGAAAACAATGGAAAGTTTAGTATCAAAATGAAAGATCAGAAATTTGACCAAAAGTCAAGGTAACTTTTATGAGTCCATGAAGTTTGCCCCTTTACTTTCACTGAAAATTAAAAGCAAAGTGCACAGTTATAGTACTTCCAAAGGGGCCATTTGAGGTATTTAGAATAAAAATATTGACAAGAATTAATGCTTTCAATTCAGTATACATTACATATTTTTCAGCTTCAGTGGACATGAGTTTGCTAAAAGACATGATATTTCTAATTTAAAAATTACATTTATTTATAGATTTACACCATTTGAATGAGGCAGAATATTTATATTTGAATGTACATATATGGATTTTGTGTGTATTTTATAATTTTATAGCATGTTAAAAACCAAGGTTATAAATTATTTAACATTTTGATAAAATTATTCCTTCAAAGATGGTAATACTATTTTCTGCTACATCAAAATCTTTTAAATCTAGTAGATATACTTCTTGGATATATATGTGGAATATACATGGCTATTTTATAGATATAAATTTATTAATATAGAAATAATGGGAAGTTTATTATATGGAAGTAATAATACAGTATCATTATTTCACAAACCAAAAATCTAATTTAGATTGAATCATATTTCAATATTACCAATATTATCCAATAGGTTCTACAGTAAACCATAATTTGATTAATGCCCTTCAATGCTATTTTTTTCACTTAATAGAAAAATAAAGAAAACATGATTGATTTCATAAAGCTTTAAATTAGGATCATTGCTTTAATGCATTTTTCATAATACATAAAAGGTCTTTTTCACTCCAGTAATGAATAACTTGCTTTGGTTCAACTTTACTTTCCATATTTATTTTGCCCAGCCATATGGATATCTGATCATACATAATTGAACTACAAAGTGATGAAATTGGGAAAATTATTTGGAAGAACACTTGCTTAGCAAGTACAAAATTCTGAGTTCAAAACTGAGTCCCATTAAAATAATAGTTTAGATTTTTGTAGGGTTTTCTAAATGAAAACTGAAAAATAGCATTCCTCCATATTATTCTGCTCATTTGGCAACAGGATAATGTTGACAGAATCAAATATTTGAATATGGAAATCAAGATTTTTTTAATTATTAGAAATGGGAAAGGTTTCACACCCAGAAACTTTTGAAATTTTATTAAAATTTACTAAATTATATTAAGCCCAGAGACAGGAAAATGATTTATCTGTAAAGTCATTTAGGTTAACTTGTGTTTCTTGAAACAGAACGTTAATAAAAACTATAGATCCCTCTAAGAGTGGGAGAGTCAAAATATATTTCCTAAGCTGGGGCAATCTTGAGGTTCTAGTAACAAGTGTCTACTGAGAGCATGGATGGTTGCCAAAAGCATCTGTGGCCAAAATAAGGTATTGATCACTAATTTTGCAAAGATAAAATATGAGGTGGTAGCAGCCAAGTTTTCCAGTCTTTTTACCTGGGGAAATTTCTCTCAAGTTCATAAGCATTTGTAAAACCTGCTGACTGTTTTGATTGAGATATACAAGCTCCCCAAATTGTTTGGTGCCAAAGTGTTTGTTGCTTTTCCTTTCCATCGCCTTCCTTAATTATTCTTTGTCTACCAGTGTCTAGAAACCAGGCAAAATACGAAAAGTGGAAAAATTGGTTTTCAGGGAGTTAACACGATTGAAGACCAGCAGTAGGAGACACATTTACTCCTAGAAGAATTTTCCTACATAGTCACTGCAACCAATCAATTTAATCATTAAATAAACAGAATTATCTATTTTTGTAAGCAATTTCCCTATTACCATTCATTCTTTTCTGAAGGTGTGCAGTTGTTTATTCTTGTCATGAAGCTTATTCCCTTTATGATTTCAAAAATCCAGCCAAAATTTGTCATTAAAAAGTAAGTTCATAGGTGGTTGTTGGAGGCTCATGCTTCACTACTCTGGAGACAGAGATTTGAGCATTTTCCATTCGAAAACTGCCAGCTCAAGAAAGCCTAAGAGACTATTGTCTTCAATGAACTTCCCAAATGCCAGAAATGAACTGTGATTAAACTATTAAAATACTAAACATAAAAAAAAAATTTAAAAAGCTCAGGGACAGAACTCAGGCCCTGAGTTCAAGCCCCAGGTTGATAAAATAATAATAATAATAATAATAATAATTGATAAAAATTTTCAAAATATTTAATTCTTAAAAACATAAAAATGTAATAGCCTGAGAAAAGAATTTTTAATTAAAAATTCAATTATACTTATCAAACTTTTTCTAAATTTTTATATGTTCAAATTTTTATGATACAATTCCAAGATTCCTATATAATGTAAATAAAATGTATTAACTTCAAAAAATACCTATGTTCAACCTACCTGATTAAAATACTACTTTATAAGACATTATTTGTGTATTTCCTTTCCATTCAAGCAGCCTATTAACTTCTCTATAGTTAGCCAATATTCCACTCAGAATTTTCCAATTTTGATTTACTTTCAGTTGATGTAGTTTTTAATAATTCATGTGAAAAAGTAAGAGAGTTTTATATTGGATAGAAAAATATGGCCTCCTCTTAGCATCTGCCTATTCATTTAATCAAATAATCGGTAGCCAAATCTATTCTACAGGCTGATTTTTCCCCTACTACCATCAAATATACTTATTTGGTTTTATTTGTTGTCCATATTAATATACTATCTCTTCCTTTATTTTCAAAACCTTTTCTAAGTGTTTCATCCAAACAGTACACAGAAAAAATAGTTGAGTCTATCATGGAAATATCTTGGAATGCAAAATCTTTCAAAATCAGTATTATTACTTTCACAAAGTAATTGCTGAACCTGTACCTGATAAACGTTTAGGGGTTTTGGATAGAAAACATATGAAGAATGTAGTGTTTAATTTACTCGATGTAATGATAATCTTACATAATGTGTTAATCTTACAGGAATAGTGTCTTAGGACAAACACTTTGAAAATCTTGGCATTTAGTAGTAAGACACCAAGATTATTAAGACATGTAATCCATCAGACTTTTATGAAATGTAATTGGAGTCCCAAGTACTAATGGGGCTCAATTACATCGATTTCACAGATAATTACTTGCAAAATTTGAATCATGTATTTGGAACCAAGCTAATTATTATCAAACGCTATATAAGACTAAGTGTCCTCTTGTTTGGATTTTGATTTTCTGTTTTAATATTCCTGAAAGTTGCTATCTGACCCAGAAAGAATCCTAGAATTCTGTGGACACCTGCGAAAATTTATCACAAAACAATTCTAGTTCCAACACCTGGATGGAAAGGTAGAATGGGAGCCAAGGTTTTGTTTTCACTCTTATGACCATTGACTTAAAAGCCATGGTGCTAGTTTAGATTCTGGTTAAAACCAGTTTTTCACTTGGTATATTTAAATCTCCTTCATCAAGTTGTGACACAAAACATAGGCCTGGATTAGCACAATAAATGTCCTTTCTGAATACACAGTACGCTAACATCTTGCTCTGTCTGTTTCAATTGTCATGCAAATCTCTACTGTGTAAGTTACTATCTCCCATATAAACCAGTTCATGAAAAAGGTGTCTGAAAGTTTCTGTAATTTGTCTACCACCATTATTTTTTCATTAATTTCCACATTTTGATGTTTTATAGAGGTGACATTTATGACAGTATAACGATGTCTTTTTAATTTATGCATAAAAACAAAAAAGCACTTCAAAATCTTACACTCAGAAACACGATCTTGTCCATTGTATATATCAATATATGATTATGCTTCTGCACAAATAAAAGAATAAAGGGAATAGAGAGGCATATTATTTATATATCTCATATAATGTAATAGATAAAAACCTAAAAAAAATTACGAAATTGCAAAAGTTAGATTCAAGTTCAGAATAAGAGTGTTCTGTGGAACTTTTCTTTGTCATTAGGAATAAGATACAAGTCTATACCATGGAGAAGCTGGTACATTAACTTCATGTTTTAATTTCAGACAGTATTTGTTAACTCCCTGCCGTGTAATTTGAGATGATTAGCTACTCTCCAAATTGTCCTCATTCCTCTTCAGCTTCAGTTTTTCCATAATTATATCATTTTAACTTTATCAAAGTTCATAATATTTATATTCAGTGGTGCACCTTTAATTTCTTTTTTTAAAATAAGTTTTTTATTGTGAAAATACTGTACAAGGGGTTACAGTTACATGAGCAAGGTAATGAGTACATTTCTTGTCAAGCATTGATGCCTTCTCATTTATTTTTCCCCTACCATCCCTTCCCTCCCATCTTGAACACTTTGGTTTTATTTCTTCAAATGGGTGGTGACTGGACTCAATTTTACAGAAACTCCATCCTTTGTTCACTATTCAAATCATCCCTTATTGTGTGTGTGTGTGTGTGTGTGTGTGTGTGTGTGTGTGTGTATGTGTGTGTGTGTGTGTGTGTTAAGCCACACTAGAGATTGGCAAGAAAAAGATGGATTGGTCTCTGCCTTCTAGGCATCTTGGTGCTCCTACATGACTGATCTAGATATACCTATGGGCTTTTCCGCCTTTGTAAAAAATCCATCTTGTATAACACGTTCCATTCTTTATGATTTTCCAGTGCTATCTGCTTGCCACTTCCTTTTTCTCTCTAAAAACAGATTAATTTAATCAATTAATACAAAATATTGACATTCTTTCTGACAACCTGAAAAATACTAAGACTTTGAATTTTGCAGTTTTGATGACAACCATCAGCATCTTCCATAACACTTACCAGACAGGATAAATCATCTGTCTTCTAGGAAGCTGTGTATAGAAACCAAGACATACTAGCAATGAATACAGAATTGATAGCACTTATTTTATGT